TTTTGTTCTTCAGTCTAGTTGTGGAGGACGTTGCTTCACTGGCCCAAGTTGGCACCATCATTGCGCTCTTCCCGGGTGAGGCAGATCAGTCGCCAGCTTCTGGATGGCCGCTCACTGCGGCTGCTGGCTGCTCACGCTGGCTGCTGGCTACACACTGTAGCCCATGGCAACCCACTGCCACAGGGGTTGCAGCCTATGCTGTCGACTCACAGCAGCCCAGCCCCAGGTTGAGCTGTTGTTCAGCATCTTAGCTGTTGAGGGCAGTGTCACTGGCCCTCATATGTGGGATCCGAACCGGGGTCCTCTGGCGTCCCAAGCCAGCTCTTAACCATCGCGCCACTCGGCCGGCCCGATAATCACTGTGTTTTAATTGGAGAATTTTGTCCAGTCTCGTTCAATATAAATACTGATATATTTCATTTTAAATTGATCATCTTATAAGTGTATCTTACTTAATCTCTTCTGTGATTACTTTTTCTTTCTTTATTTTGGGTTTAAAAAGTTTTTCCTTTTCCCCATTTCTCACTTTGGAAAATGTTGATTTCTCTACATTATTTGATGTTTTAGAGAGTACAGTGCGTGTAGTCAGCATCTCCCAGTAAGGGTGCTCTCACCGCTTTCCCTGACGGTCCGGAGAACTCAGTGACCCCCAAACTTCTGGTGTGTTCCTGTCATGTGTGTTCATTTTCAAATCCCACAAGGCATTTTCACTTAGGCAACAATTCATTTATACTCAGACACATATTTACCACAACTGTTACTCTTCTCCTTTACATCTGAATTTCCCTCTGGCGTGAATTTCCTCCTGCCTGAAGAGTGCCTTATTTTATTTAGTTTGGGTCTGCTGGGGACAGCCTGTCTGTTTCAGCCTGTCTGAAAATGTTTACTTCATCTTGAAAAGTTCCTCCGATGACTTGCTGAGATAGAATCTAGGCCGGTCATTGTTTCTTTGCTACACTTTAATGATGTGATTGTTTCTGTTGGGAGCTCAGCTGCCACCCTATTGCCGCTCCTGTAAATACAGTGGGTTTTTGCAGGCTACTCTTTAGGTTTATGTTTCTTTGTGTTGTTTTCAGCAGTTTTTACTGTCTCGGTGTGGGTTTCATCTTAATTCTCCTGGTCGAGACTTGTGTGACTTCTTGACACGGCCTTGTCCCTTAAGGTGTGCTTGTCCCCAATGTCACCTCTCCCTAGGGCTCCAGTCATTGTGCTTACATGGCAGTGACATCTGTGTTTTTTGAACTCTTGCTCCTGTTCTGCCGTCTCAACATCTGAGCGCTTCTAGACCAGCAATGTCCAATAGAAATGTAATTCACACCACATATGTAATAAACATTTTCTGGGAGCCATATTAAAACAAACAGGTGGAGTTGATTTTTAATAATACACTTTTTTTAACCCAATATAGCATATCATTTCAACGTGTAGTCAGCACTAAGTATATTAATGAGACTTCAGGCTTTGTTTTTTAGTACTCTGTGTTTTCCACCTAAAAAACATCTCATTTCAGTCCACCACATTGTAGGAGCTCTGTGTGGGCAGGTGGGCTGGTGTCCTCGGTGTTAAACGTGCAGGTCTGCGGTGCGTCGCACTCTGCCCTGTGTGCAGGACGAGTGCTAAGAGCTGCGTTTCAAATTTGCTTGAAGACACTGAGCACTGCACCAAAATCAGATGCTTTTCTTGAGTTTGGGCCCAAGGACAGTGTCGTTCCCGTTAGTGGTGTGCGCCTGGCTTTAAACAGACTCCATGCAGCCTAGTAAAAATTTTTATTCAGAGAGTGCACGTGACCTTGGTGACTAAATTTCCTCAGTGCCCCTTCGGAATGGCTCTTTGTGGTGCCATCCTGCACACCCACACTGGCAGCGGGTCAGGACCAGCGTGAGGGTGACCCGGTGTGTTTTGGACTCGTGGCCAGTCCTGAATGACTGAGGGCAGTGCCCCCAATGCCTTTTCTCTCTGCAGCCGAGTGCTCATTTCCACGGACGTGTGGGCCAGGGGCCTGGACGTGCCCCAGGTGTCTCTCATCATTAACTACGACCTGCCCAACAACAGAGAGCTGTACATACACAGGTACGCGCTGCAGGCTGCACGGGCTGCACCTGGGCTGGGCTCCTGCCACCTTGCCTCTGCTGCGCTCACTGAAGCCATTCCGCTTTCTTGAAGGATTGGGCGTTCGGGTCGGTACGGCCGGAAGGGTGTGGCGATCAACTTTGTGAAGAACGATGACATTCGCATCCTTCGGGACATAGAGCAGTACTACTCCACCCAAATCGACGAGATGCCCATGAACGGTGAGGGCCGGGCGTGTGGGACGGGCTCCCTGGTCCCCGGTTTGGGGCCCTTGAGGGCTTTTCCTTTGGTTTGTTTGTTCTTGAGAAGTTTGTTGTGAGCCTTTAATTAAATTGATGTTTTCGTTTTGTTTGTCTTGTTCCTTACTATGGGTTTTCCTTCACTTTCAGTTGCTGATCTGATCTGAGGAGTCTGCAGATAGTCACGCAAATGTTCGGCCTTGCTGGGCTCGGAAACGTGTTGTTGTCAAACGTGAGACAGCTGTGGAATGGTGCACATCTGGGCTCGCTTCTTAGATGTGCATGGGAGCCGCCCGCAGGCTCTACTCTGATGGAAGGTTGCTGGGGGAGCGGTTTCTCTGATGGGATTATGTGAACACTTTTCTTGTACTTCTGGGGATGAAACCATTTGTTGTTGCTTATACATGGTCGATATTAAGAAATTTTGTAAAACAGGAAAATAAGCATGGAGTCTTGCTGCCTTTTCTTATCTACATGTAAATAATGCGTTGCTCTCAGTCTTTTTCATTAAACCTTTAAAACTTTTCCCATGAACTCCCTAACTTCTGTTTCTTAAGGTGCCACCAGCTTGTCTAGTAACCTGTATAATCGTGGGTGGGTCATTTCACTCCATTTTCTGATCTCTGAAATGGTGAAATGGAAGCAGGAAAACTGCTTGGCCTCCCCTTCCCCAAATTGGTTGGGGTAATGGTCTCAACTTCCACGGTCGGGGGTTGGGGATGTGCTTGGAAATAACTTTAAAGTTCAGCAGGTGGTTCTGACTCAAAGTACCTGAAATTGTAGAGTTTATGGGAGGGATTTCCTCCGAGCTCCCAGCAGAGGGTGGTCACAGGGGCCAATACAGTGTGTTTGGGGCGGCCCCTCGGCTGTGGCAAATGGAGTGGCGGTTCCACCCTGGCCACAGCAGCTCACAGCCTCACCTCCAACCAGGAAGGTCGCAGGCAAGAGAGGAGAGCCGCGCCTGGTCCTGGACCCCCCTCCTCATGGGGTGGGGAGGGAGGCGGCGGAGGGTTGGGGGCCATTGACACTTCGCTGTGGGCTGGCCTTGCGTCTTGTGTGCCCGGGTGCCAGGGGCGGGGTACGGAGCACTTGGGGAAGCGCTGGAAAGAAGGGTTCAGGCCAGCGAGGTTTATCCTGTGTCAGCAGCGCCACGACTCGGGAAAGGGGTTGCACACGGGGCACTGTCAGTGACTCGGGAGGAGATGGCAGTAAACCAGGGTCCTAAGAAGCTTAACCTAACTCAGATGCTTCTAGGAAGGGTCCCGGTTGGAAACAATAGTCGTGCAAATGTTCAGCCTTGGTGGCGGTTCAGAAATGCCGTGTGATTATCAAGGGTGTGAGAGACAGTTGTGTGTGGTTGGCACTGTGGGTGCAGACTTGCTGGAAAGCACCCTGGTTCTTGGGCGGTATCTAGTAGTCTGCCTCAGACCCTTCACAGAATTGGGATTAGACACTTTCAACTAGTTTTACTTGTAAAAAACATTTTTCCTTGACTGTAAAACTCCATGTTCATTACTAGGAAATTTTGTAAAACAGAAAAATAAGAGTAAAAAGCACCCGTGTTGTAGGGTAACAGCTCTGCCATGGCGCCTTGGTGACCCAGCCCGTCTTCTCATGGGTCACCAAGCAAAGGCTCGAGCTGCAGCTGGCCCATGCCATGGACCCTGTGGTCCTTGCAAGCATGAGAGCTCAGCCTGGGAAGACTGCTGAAAACAAAAATAACAGCATACAAAGAACGTACATATGACAAAAGCAGCCCAAAGTCTGAAAAGGGCAGTGGGCGTATGCAGTCGAGGTTCTTAGACTGCCTGTGAACTGGCGTACTATTTATCACCTGAAGGTAGAGTATGATAATTCAAGATGTATAACATAAAACTTAAATTTTAGGTATAAACCCTAAAAAAAAAGAAAAAGTGAAACAGAAATAGAGAGCCAACACGGGAGACAAAATGGAACTCTTAAACAATACTTTGTCAAAAAGAGGGTTGTAAAGGGGAAGAAATGATGAAAAGGACAAATAAGAAATAGCAAAGTGGTAGATTCAAAATAACTACTCCAATAATCACATGAAATGTAAATTATTTTTCACCTTCAGAAACTAGAAAAAGAGCAAGCTAAACCCAGAATGAGCAGAAAAGGAAGAACAGAGTCAAAATAAACTAGAAAAATAATAGACAAAGTCAGTAAACCCCAAAGTATGGTTCTATTTCTATGAAATGTCCCCAATGGGTAAATCTGTAGGGACAAAGCAAATTAGTGGTTTCCAGGGCCTGGGGGGATGGGGTGTGGGGGGGTGAGGAGATGTAGTGTGACTGCTGATGGGGACGGGGTCTCGGGGTGAAAAGGCTCTGGAATGAGATCTGAATTGTGTGGTATGTGGACCAGCTCAAAAATCAGGTGGGGATCTAACCTCTAAAATTAAAAATGCAAGAGCAAGAGGGAAAAGGAAATTGTCTAAGAATCAACGCAGTTAAGGTAGTTTATAAAACAGGACGCAACTGTGCTCTGCTGTAAAGGCACAAATAAGTTAAAAGTGGGAAAAAAAAAAAAAACGTACTGCAGGGCCGGCCGAGTGGCGCGATGGTTAAGAACTCGCTTGGGATGCCAGAGAGCCCCGGTTCGGATACCACATATGAGGGCCAGTGACACTGCCCTCTACAGCTAAGATGCTGAACAACAGCTCAACCTGGAGCTGGGCTGCCATGAGTCGCCGGCGACGGCGTGGGCTGCACTCCCTGTGGCAGTGGATTGCCATGGGCTACCGTGTGTAGCCAGCAGCCAGCGTGAGCGGCCAGCAGCCGCAGTGAGCGGCCGTCCAGAAGCCGGCAACTGATCTGCCTCGCCAGAGAAGAGCGCAATGATGGTACCAACTTGGGCCAGTGAAGCAACGTCCTCCACAACTAGATTGAAGAACAAAAAACGACAGCAACTTGTCTGTTCCCCTTCCCCCAATTCCCCAGCACTGTTCCCATCCCCCCAATTCCCCAATAAAAATCTTTAAAAATAAAAATAAAAATAAAATTCTTAAAAAAAAAAAAAATGTACTGCAGCAGCAGACCTGTAGCGGCTGTGTGGACCGAGACGAAGTAGATTTCACAGCAGAGAGAGTTACCAGGGGCAGAGGATGAATTCCTCAAATGATGTGACAAGGCTAAACATCCATGCACCGACAAAGGCTTCAAAACAGGAAATCCAGGAAGCAAAACAGCTGCCAGGAGAACCAGGCAAATCTGCAGTTATTACCAACCCTCTCAAGGTCAAGGCTCAATATCATCACTGCCACTTGACACCACTGGGCACTGACCAGTGCGGTAAGGCAAGGAAAAAGGATAGAAGGTCTGCAGGGAAGGGAGAAGTCTTACTCCCAGGTGATGGGCTCCTTGGAGAACCCTCAGTCTACAGCAAAGCTACCGGAACCAAGCAGCTTAGGAGAGGCAGTCTGTATGCAAGGGCAACATTCCAAAGTCACTTGGAGCCACCTGTGCGAGCAATGAGCTTTGAAAAGTGAAACTTAAAGCCACCACCACGTACAATGGCATCAAATCTGAAATGCTTGGGGCTACAAGTGGTGAAATTGCAAGCTCTGCATCGCGAATGCTTCTGTGAGGAAGTAGAGGTGTAAATGAACGCGAGATACTGTCTTAATGACTGGAAGAGTCAGTTTGGTAAGTTGGTGGCTCTCCCCAAGTTGTTGTATAGCTTCAGCACAGTCCTCGTCAAAATACCAAGAGACTTTTTTTTTTTAAAAAAAACTGACAAGCTATTTCTAAAAATTACGTAGACACACAAAGAATCTAGCACCCAAAACAATGTTGAAAAAGAACCAAGTTGGAGGACTTCCACTACCCGGCACTGAAGCTACACAGCTGGAGCACCAAAGGCTGTGGTCCCGGCATGAGGACAGACACCCGTGTGCAGATCCACGGAAGACAGTGGAAAGCCCAGAAATAGACCACAGGTTGACAGTGAAAGCGTTTCCAACATAGGTACTGAGGAATATCAGTGAGACAAAATAAATACATGCTGTACGCTTCCGTTTAGATAAAGTTCTGGAAAATGTAAATAACCTATACTGACCGAAAGACCAGTGGTTGCCTGGGGTCACGAGTGTGGGACAAACAGCCCTGTCCACACAGCCTGGGGTGACAGGGTAGGGGGTGGATGGGAGGACAGCTCCCAGCATGTCTCTGGCACCAGGCCCACTGGACATTCTCCAGTGACCTTAGAGATGGGGATGCTGGGATGGGAGGCACTGTCGGGACGTGAGGACGCTGCTTTGCGAGTCCGCACACACCCCGCCCAGAAGCGTCCAGGGGCCCATCGAGGATGGAGTGGCTGCCTCCGTGTCACAGCCCTTGGGCACACCCTCCGTGCCCCAAATCCCAGAAGGACCAGCAGAAGCTTGTCTGCAAATGCCCCTTTTATTAAAAAGAACTGCACTTAGGGTTCAAGGTTTCCCCAGTCCTGAGAATTCTCCCGAGGTCCCTGGGCCCACTCTCATCGGAATGGCGGACACCCCACCTGCTGATGGGGGCAGCTGCCCAGAAAGCAGCCTGCGACGGCCGCCCACCTCCCTCCTGTCGCCGGTCAGAGCAGCCAGAGAGGTGCCCGGGGCAGGTCCCACGTTGCATCCCACACACCACCTTCTCTGCTGTCACACAGGCAGCTGGCGGTGGCTGACGTTCCCCCCAGTGACGGGCCACAGAGAGCGAGGCTTCCAGGATAACATTCCAAACAGGCTACTCTCGGGAGGTTGAGCCCATGGGATCAGGGCAGAAAAGCTGTCGAAGGGTGCGGCTGGCCCAGAGCCCCAGCACAGGAGGTAGACGCGAGCATATCTGGGTGTTGGAGGCAAGGCAGGGCCACGCACCGGGTAAGCGCTCTGACCCCACACGGCTGATGGTGCACTGGGCTGCTGGGGACACAAGCCCCTCGGGGAAGAGACCTGGTTAAGACCAACTGATGAGAAACTGCTCTCCCATCGCCAGCGACACAGGGATGCCCAGGGTCTGGAAACAAGAAAAAAGAAAAATTGGCCTCTAAGCAATCGCCAGCAGCAGTGAGACCCGAGCACTCGGCAGACAGGAGTCTGGACACGGGTGGGCGGCGGACTCGGGGCCTTCCCGGCCCAGGGCGGCACTCGCTCTGTTCCCATCAGCCGATTCGAGCCACGAGCACCCTCGGCATTGGACGCCTTTATCAGCGTTGGAAACGAGCTGCCGAAAAGCAGACGCGGGCAGAGGAAAGGTACGGGCTTGAGGGGGCCGATCCGTCCCCCTCCCCCCACAAGGATAAGTTCCTGTCTCCCCTCGTGTGGCCCAAGTGTCCTCTGGCTTCCAGATGGCATGTCTCATGATGCCAGCTCGGCAGGCCTGGCTGGGGTCACCAGAATCCTTGGCACCTCCCGCCCCCTCGGCCATCCTGGGGGACAAGCCCTCTGGCCCCCTCTTGCCTGGGTGTTGGGGCTGTAGGTGAAGTTGGAGACAGGAACACCATTGGCTACGACCTGCTGGGGGGCCGTGGCCACGCCCAGG